GCTGACCCCGGCGTGGGCAGGGGGCCCCCCTCTCGGCACGCTGACCCCGGTGGGGGCGGGGGCGGGGGCTCCCCCTCTCGGCACGCTGACCCCGGCGGGGGCGGGGGATCCCCCTCTCGGCACGCTGACCCCGGCAGGAGCCCGTGGCAGGCTGGAACTGAGGGCAACAGGCAGGAGTGGACCCGCAGAGAACGCTGCCCGGCGGCCCAGGGCCGCGGCCAGCCTGAGCTTCCGGTGTCCGCAGAGGCTGGGTGACCCCATGTGCCCTTTCCCGCAGCTGTCCAGCAACGCCTCGGGGACTGCAGGTGGCGCCTGTTTGCCGTTTTACCGCTCCTCTGCCGCCTGTGGCTCCGGGATCCAAGGCGCCTTCTTTGGCAACCTGACCTTGGCCAACCCGCGACAGCAGATGAACGGGCTGACCTCATTCCTGGACGCGTCCACGGTGTACGGCAGCTCCCCGGCCTCAGAGAAGCAGCTGCGCAACTGGACCAGCGCCGAGGGGCTGCTCCGGGTCAACACGCGCTACGGGGACACGGGCCGCGCCTACCTGCCCTTCACGCAGCCGCCCGCGCCCACGGCCTGCGCGCCTGAGCCCGGCCCCCGCGGGACGGCCGGAGCGCCCTGCTTCCTGGCGGGGGACGGCCGTGCCAGCGAGGTCCCCGCTCTGACAGCCGTGCACACGCTCTGGCTGCGTGAGCACAACCGCCTGGCCTCCGCGCTCAAGGCTCTCAACGCGCACTGGAGTGCCGACACCACCTACCAGGAGGCGCGCAAGGTGGTGGGCGCCCTGCACCAGGTGCGCAAGGTCCTGCGGCGCCCCGCGTGCTCGTGGGGGCGCAGGGGGCGTGTGGGTGCGGGGCTCAGAGTAGAAAGTGGGGTCCCGGCCCGCAAGCCGAGGGCCCGAGGCTTCCGTTACGCACGCAGCTCGGTCTGGACAAGGTCACCTGCAAATTGTGAGAACACGCGTAGTTAGTGACATAAAAGTGGGAGCCATATAGGATCTGTGAGCGGGGTTTAGGCAGATCTGGAGGACAGCGTACAGTGCGACCTGGAAACCTGTCACTGTTTCAAATAGCTTGTCGGACATGATCTGACCTTGAACAAAGTGGTGTCCGAGTCAGGCTCAGGGGAGTGGTTCCCGGGCTCCCGCTGGGGTGTCTTGCCCCCGCCTCTGCCGCAGGGAGTCCTCCCGGCTGTGTCCCCGACAGCGGCGTGCTTGGTTGTGTGTGCCTGTGACCCTTCCCGAACACGAGCTCCGTGGGCACGCGCTGTCAGCCGCTGGACTGGGCTGTGCACAAAGTGGGCACTCGGGAGTGCGTGCGGGAAGCCCAGCTCCCAGCGTCATGCCAGGACATGTCCACATTTCTCGGCTTCACCGTTCACTTTCAGATTCCCTAGTGTGTTTTTCTCAGTCAAGAGCTTCTCTTCGGTGTTTTTGGCAAATACCTCAGAAACCCTAAAATAACAAGAGGTTGCGTTTGCGTTGATAAAACCCTTCCCGAGATGAGGGCTGCGTCCGGCGGGTTCTCGCAAGGCTGTCCCTCTTTGCTGCTTCCGTGGTCTGGATCTCTCCTCTCCTGAAAAGCAGTATGTCACTAAGAAGAATGTCTGCAAATTAGAAGAGAGAGAGCACGCCCAGCTCCATGGCTGCCACCCAGATCTGAGCAGCTAGGCCCAGGGACACGTGGCCGGCCTTGGCTCCTGCCCCGCCCCCCCGCACCTGAAGCAGCCGCGCCCCGACTGCCTCCTGCACCTGCACAGCCTCTCGCCAGCCCCGCCCTGTCCGCCAGAGCCCCGCGCTGCTCCCCACTGAGGCCTTTGCCCCGACTTCCTCTGCAGCTCGTTCCAGGGTCCCCTCTGCCCCAGGACAGACAGCCCTGTGCAGGCGTGTCCCCGGGCTCTCCCTCCCTGCTCGTGCCTCTGCATGTCGGGACAATGCGCCCTGTGCCCACTGGGACCCAAGTCAAACTTCAGAGAAAGGGAAGCAGACGTCATTAGAATCGTTTCCACTGCAATTTAAAGCTGTGTAGTGTCCCTGGCGGGGAAGAGGAAGGCCGTTTCCCTTGTGCTGTGGGGACAAGAAGCAGAAGTGGGGCAGCAAGAGACACACCGACCTCCTGTGTGGAGAAGCCCGAGGACAAGCCTGTGGCGCCAACCTGGGCTGAGGGCCAGGTTGTGCACGACTAAGTCGTCACTACTCTGCGTGCTGATCAGTGACCCAGGTGCTCCTCACTCGTCGCTGAACCGGCTCAGGGATGACCCATCTGGCAAGGAGCCCTGGACCAGCCTCCATCCGGCGTCTTCCAGGCCCCAGAGGTGAAGCACGGACTGCAGCACCTTTGGCCAAGTGGGAGGCTGCCTACCAGCAGCTGCCACTCCCGCTGCACTCCTGCAAAGTACAGATCATGCATTCAGAAAACACATCTTGTTTGGAAGGGACCTATTATACAGATGCAGATGGTGGCTGTTGTTTCTTCCAACAGTCGGAGAATGTGAACAGCTTGTCTGCTGAACTGATAAGCTACAACCGAAGACCTTCATGTTCTGGGACAGTCTTTCCCATTGGCTTATACCTCATTGGATGTCATTTATTGACCAAAATCTTTTTAAATACTCAAAGAATTTGACACTGATTTTTACAGCAAAGGAATTACTGTTAAATCTACAAGCAGAGCCCTTATACCTGATCCTCTGGGGAGCACGCACCAAACAGAAACCACAGGACTATGGCCGCCTTGTTACCGCTGACGGGGCTCCTCACGGCACGGGTGCTGGAATCAGAGACCGGGGCTGATGCTCTGCGGAGGGGAGGGTGCTCCCCCGCAGTGAATCCACAGTCGTAGACCTGTGCTGCCCACGGCCATGCCCGCCTGGGCCTCAGACCTGAGCTTCTTCCCCGGCCGCCACAGCCCCACCACCGTCCCACGAAGGTCCCTGCAGCCGGCTCACAGAACTCCTGAGTACCAGGACAAACAAACAAACACCCTTGTGAGAACTCACTTTGAGGCTTTAGTGCAGGGCAGGGCGAGCGGAGAGAGACCCGGTCCAGTCAGCGGACGGCGTGGTCCGGTGATCACAAAAGGCACCTGCCGAGGCTCGAGTGCCAGGTCTGTCCTGTCCCTTTAGATAACGCGGTGCATCTTCCAGGCGGAGACCAAAATAGAACGAGGCCTCATTTACAAAACACACGTATGGTTTTGGCTCCTGTGGAGACCCCTGCCAGCCCCTTTCCTTCGTGTTTCCATTACAAAGAACTTATAAGCTGACAGAACAACTCAGGGGGAAAAGAAGGAATAACACAGGGGTCCCGGCATAACTTTTAATCTGCCAGAGCCATTCAGATCACAAGTAAACTTCAGGCGGTGTGTCATTTCCTTACAGCTCCTGGGGAGGGGGTCCTCCACACGCACTGACCCACCCTGGGCAACAAATGTATCTGCCATATGGAGACCACACAACAGACCCAACAGAGAAAGCCATGCATGTTTCCTACTCTCACAAAAACTCCATGAAAAAGGCTTTTCCAGAAAAGGAAGCCAGGTCAGAGAGGCCACCCAGCACCCCACCCCCCAGACTCGCACAGCTAAGAAGTAGGAGGTGGGATTTGAGCTCACGGGTCTGAATCCTGAGCCTCTGCTTCTCAGGTTCCTTGAAACACCTAGATCTCTGACTTCTCTTCTGAGCTCAGCATTGATGGAGTGCCCATGGTGAGGGGGCGAAGAGGTTGGGGGAGGAGTGCAGTGTGGCAGCCAGTCTCTGCGTGGTGCACCCCCAAGCTTTACGTGGCCTGCCCTGCCCTGAGGGGTGTTTGGGGGTGTCACTGACATGCCCCCCAGCTCCGTAAGTGTAAGAGCTGTGAGGATGCTCTTTGGATCCATTCACCTGTTCACCTGTTCCCTTACCTGGATGGCATGTTCCTCCCGGGACAACTCTGCCTCCCAGGGGATGCTCAGGAGGAAGTCCTTCCCTGTTGCTGGGTGTGGCCCAAGTCTGGCACCGTGGGCCCTGCTGCCGGTAGCCCCTGCTCAGAAGTTCTCCTGTTTTCCTCTCTCCGTAGATCATTACCATGCGGGACTATGTTCCCAAAGTCCTGGGCCCCGAGGCCTTCCAGCAGCACGTGGGCCCCTATGAGGGCTATGACCCCGCTGTGGACCCCACCGTGTCCAATGTGTTTTCCACGGCCGCCTTCCGCTTCGGCCACGCCACGGTGCACCCGCTGGTGAGGCGGCTGGACGCCCGCTTCCAGGAGCACCCTGGCCTTCCCCCTCTGCGGCTGCAGGACGCCTTCTTCAGCCCGTGGAGGCTTCTCAAGGAAGGTGCGCTTCCCCTCCTGCTGGAGATTGGCCTCCCTCCCGCCGGCTCCCCGAAAGTGCCCACCACCCCACGGCGAGGGCCTGCTTTCACCTCGCATCACATGGGGCTGCATAATATCAGTGTTTATAGGGGAAACAGATGCATTCAAAGCCTTTTAAAGGCTAACCTGCTCATCCAGACATCTCCGCTAGGGTTTCTGACGTTCTTCAGAGCTCACAGGGCAACCACCCCAGGTACAAGTACCTCTGACCTATTATTTCAGAGCTACTGAAGTAGAGACCCATGTGCACCTGTTCAGTGTAAATAACAGCATCTTCCCCATTAAACATGCAGCCTGCTCCTGCCTCGTCCCCCCCACAGAGCACTGGAGCATGAACGTCCGCACAACAGGGCCTGGGAAGGGTTGTTTGTACCCCTTGTCCTCCCAACGTCCTCCTCCTAGAAGCTTCGGGCCTGTTGCAAATGGTGCCTGGCACCCAGTGGACGCAGCAGGGGGAGGGGAGGGGAAGCAGTCACCACACGCGATCTTTGCTCCCACGTGAATGTGTGCGGAGCATGAGGGAGAGAGGCCAGGGTCAGCCAGGTCACCAGGACCCCATCCTTCGATGGCACCCAGGCTACCCCCCACAGGCCAGAGCGCGTGCACTTTCTGGGTTGTGTTGTTGGAGCGCCAGGAGACTAGGCAGGCGTGATAAAGGACCCACGTGATCGGGGTGGGAGGGAGCCCAGAGGTGGGCTTTTCCATAAGGGGTCCTGTGGAGAGGGCTGGCACTTGGAGGTGAGGGGAGCAGGTGCCCCGACTGACCCACCTCTGTTCAGCCACCTTCTGCCACGGGAAACAACACGAAAACTTCAGGACTGCTGGGCTCCTTCTCTGGGTCCCCTTCAGACGTGAGGTCTGCCCCTGCACCTGCTGGTCAATCCCTGGGGATCCACACGGCAGAACCCAAGCAGTACTTGGAAGTTCTCAGGATCGCTTAAAGTGAATTCGTGACCTTGAATTCGTGACCTTGTTAAGAACAAGCAGAGTTTGCTATGTGAGGTATTATTACTGTTTCTCCAGGACTCAGGAGATGACCGCGCCTCTTCCATGATGTTTTCCAGGTGGTTTGGACCCCCTGGTGAGGGGCCTTCTCGCGAGACCAGCCAAGCTGCAGGTGCAGGACCAGCTGATGAACGAGGAGCTGACGGAGAGGCTGTTCGTGCTGGGGAGCTCGGGCAGGCTGGACCTGGCGTCCATCAACCTGCAACGCGGCCGGGACCACGGCCTGCCAGGTTTGCCCGCCCCCGGCTCCTCCCTGGGCTCCCCTCCTGCCTGAGCCGTGGCGGCGGCCACCTCACAGCTGTTCTATTGGAAGCAATGTCTCCAGTCTCCAGCCAATTTACAGCGCTCTGGTTCTTCCACCAGGAGCCCATTCAGTGTTGCTTCGAGGACAGAGGCCCACAGGGTGCCCAGGGCCTCCCAGTGGGGCAGAAGCAGTCCCCGAACAGGGAGAGGGAGGTGGTCTGGCCTGGCGCTTTTTGGGAAGTCAGAGGGCCGCTGTCCTGCCCGCCCCTCCCTCTCACCTCCCCTGGGGCCAGCACACATCCTCAGCTGCCTCCAGGGTGGTCACTCACCAGCGGTCCCATCCCCTGGCCACTCTGTGGATGGGGACCCTCTTCTCGGGCCCGCCCCCAGCTCCCCACTCCCACTTGCTGTGCCCACTCCAACTCCATCCCCCTCACCTGTCCCAACCCTCCCCCCCCCTCCCTGAGGCTGGCCCTGACACCCTGCCCACCGTGGCCTTTCCTCCTGGGGCTCCTGTAGTTCAGCTCTCTGGTCAACCCTGCCTGCTGCAACTGCAGATCCGGGTGGAGCCCAGCTCTGGTGAGGCAGGCGGGGCGGGCACGTGGATGCAGGGCAAGAACACCGGCAACCCCCCGTCCCTGCAGGCTACAACGCGTGGAGGGAGTTCTGCGGCCTGCCCAGACTGGAGACGTGGGCCGACCTGCGCACCGCCATGGCCAACGCGAGCATCGCCGGCCGGATAATGGACCTGTATGGGCACCCCGACAACATCGACGTCTGGCTGGGCGGCCTGGCCGAGACCCTCCTCCCCCAGGCCCGCACGGGTCCGCTGTTTGCGTGCCTCATTGGGAGGCAGATGAAGGCCCTGCGGGACGGGGACCGGTGGGTACTGCCGCCGGGCTCTTCTGTGGCCCCCACTCCACACGGTCCCAACACAGCTGTGTCGTGGGCACTCATGCAGCCCGGCCGTCTCTGTGGGGCCGTGAACCCGGGTCATCACAGAAACGCAGCATTGGCGGCATGAGCACGCTGAGCACTGGAAGCGAGAGCTGCCGTTGATGCGTCCGAAGGACCCGGTCTCACGTGTGAGCGGACGTCATGTGGAGAGCACAGGTGTTTCTGACACCCAGAAACCCACCTTTGGGTGTCCTCTCACACGGCTGCCGATTTGGGCAGGTGGGCGCGGACCAAGGCGTGAGACCCAGGCCCAGGACGGCATCCGAGCGCGGGGTGGGTTTGCTGCCCCTCTGTCGGCTCGGCCTGGGCCCCCGCCCCTTGAAGGTCCCTGGGGGAGTCAGCCAAGCCAGCCCCTGATCCCGGGCCCAGCTTGTCAAGAGTGAGGAGTCTGGGAACACGCGACGCGGAGGACCGCACAGGACACCCTGTCTGCCCTGACGGGAGGCACCCTCGGTCGCGGACTCCCCTGCAGCATGCTCGGCTCTCTCCTCCTCTGCAGGTTCTGGTGGGAGAGCAGCGGGGTGTTCACCGAGGCCCAGCGGCGCGAGCTGGCGAGGCATTCCCTGTCCCGGGTCATCTGTGACAACACGGGCCTCCCCAGCGTGCCCACTGACGCCTTCCAAATCGGGAGATTCCCGCGGGACTTTGAGTCATGCGAGAACATTCCAGGTCTGAACCTGGACATGTGGAGGGAGGCCCTTCCTCAAGGTGACGTGAAGCCCATTTTAAATTATGTTGTAGCGTGTGGATTGTTTTCAAGAATGTCACGTGCCAAAAGGCACACCCAAAGGGGGAGGTGAGCACCCCAAGTCTGAGCTGTGCACGTAACCCCCGAGTGGGAGTGGGCAGGTGGGTGGATGAGCACATGGGGCTTGGGGCACAAGGCGTCCACTGGGCCTCTGTGGCACGTCCACAGAGATGCACCCAGTGTCTAGAAGCTGTGTGCCCCACTAAGCTGTGGTAGAGGCGGCTCCAGCTGGGAGGTGGGAATTCGGAAAGGCAAGAAAGTGGGGGAGATGAGGGAAGTGAGGGAGGTGGGGAGGTGAGTGGAGAGGAAGTGAGGGGGTGAGGGAGGTGAAGAGATGAGGTGAGGGGGAAAGGGGGTGAGGGAGGTGAAGAGATGAGGAGGTGAGGGGAAAGGGGGTGAGGGGATGAGGATGTGAGGGTGTGAGGAGGTAAGGGATGAGGGGGTGGGGAGGTGAGGAGGTGGGAGAGATGGGGGAGCTGAAGAGGTGAGGGATTGAGGGGTGGGGAAAGGTGAAGGGGTGAGGAGGTTAGAGGGTGAGGAGATGGGGGAGGTGAGGAAGATGAAGGGATGGGGGAAGTGAGGGAGGTGAGGAGATGAGGTGAGAAGGTGAGGGAGGTGAGGAGATGGGGGAGCTGAAGAGGTGAGGGATTGAG